ATCATTCAGAATGATTTCTACACTTGTCATATTTTGACTCTACACTTGTCATGTTTTGAAATAGCATTTGATTAATCTTTTATACCTTTTCAAATGTTAGCATATAATTTAAATTCTATTTCACAATATAGGTAGACTTTTAACATAGTATACCACTTTATACCATGTTCCCACTTTTTGTGTCGAAAGCTAGACTTATAAACAACATAAACCAGAAAGGGTATTATAAACAAACACTGACATCTATCATTTTTATTTAAACACATCGCGCTGACGCATGCCCTTCTCGTTAAAACGGAAAAGCTTCAAGAATGGATACTAACAGGGATTTATTCAACAGATTATTAATTTCTTCAGATCCGCTTATTTCACATTTACTTATAATACGTTTACTTCTCCAAAAACTGTCCGAAAAAATATAATAATAGAAATACAACAATTCTTGGAAGAACCATTAGTTGATCCCAGTTCCTCGGAAGACGTATCACACGAAAGCAACGTTGACTAAAAAATATATTCATGTTTTAAAAAATATAATAAAGATTTTGTATATTAGTTTTATGGAATAAATAATGTATGATATAATGGAAAAATTTGTATAATGATTTTGTATGTTTATTTTATTGTTAAGTTTATTTAACTGTTAAATAATTTAGCAAATATATATAATCATTAATGTTTAATGAAATATCATGTTTTTGATTAATAAAAAACCAATAAAACGAAAAATAATCAACATTTCGTTAAAGCAGGATTTTTGTCCCGCTAGATTGGCCAAACGACACACTGTGCGTCGGCTAGTCCACGATAACCAACCTCCTGGGGTACCCGGCGTTAGCCATACGTCGGCTCATCCCCGCATCTATTTTCTTTTGGCGCTCAGGTTAAGTAACAAACCTGAGTTAGCCTAGTAACATTACCTTTACCAAAATACAGCCCCCAACCACGCGGCTGTGACCCCTCCGGCTCGTAACATTAGGAATATATAAATCTAGTAACTTCCAATTTCACAAGTCTGGTGATTATTTGTAATACATTTACTCAGATTTTGTATTCGTTATTAGCAATTTATTAAAAGTTTATACACTTAATTGGAATTTACAAAATAAATATAATAAACACACATAAATTATATATATATGTCAAATATGAAACACATGAAATATTTACAATGTGTGAATTCATTAATTTTTTAGAATGTTCTAAACACAATTTTTGTCTCGTTTCTTTCATAGACAGATACATATGCAATATCCACTTTCGGCTAATAATTAAAAAAATTTCAAAACTCAATAAAAGTCATACTAAATAACTTGAATTTGAACTGATATTCTACAATCAAATATGGGTACCTCTTCATGGATTAATTTAACTAACTATAAACAATACAAAGTTTACAACTAATATAATTTATTCCATATTGTTTTATACAAGACAAAATTTTTACAGTGATTTTGATAAGGTAAATTAATAATTACAAAAAATATGTAATTTACAGTATCATAACAGAAATATATAAATTTTCATGTTATATAATTATAAAACATCGTGGTAGTCAATAAAGGGGATTTCAAAAGACATATAATTTTTAATAATTTAATAAATAATGAAGAAATTTAATAATGTTAATATTTGTATTAGTATAAGAGTAAAAATAAAATAACACAATTTAATTTAATATAAATATAACTAGGGGGCTGTGCCCCCTGGGGCCGCTTCGCGGCTCAACCCCCCAATGCGCTTCCCGCCTAGTCATAACGTAACGGTGTCAAGCGTAACGCTGTCACGGTTAGGTTAGGTTAGGCGAAGGGAGCACGGTGGACGAAGTGCTGCCAGGGTGGCACAAGTCGGATCTCCCACCCCCACGTGGTGTCCGCTGGGATAGAGGCACTCTAGGCTCTTCGGTAGCACTCCGGTGCTACCCAAGGGTGAGGGCCTCTATACTAACGGGAGAACGGCGACCTCAGGGGGCACCGGTCCGTTACGGACATCTGTCACGGGTAAGGGGTCCCAGGATGGCCCGCCGGAACCAAGCGTCGAGGAGGTCAGGCTCCAGGCCCGCCGTGACGCTGTCTCCCGCTGGCGCGCGGAGCTCATCGCCAGCGGGGCCGCGGAGAAGCGCGCGGTCGGGGCGATCCTTCCACGCCTCGAACAGTGGATGGATCGTGGTCACGGGCGGCTCTCGTTCCGGATCACGCAGGTGCTGACCGGGCACGGGTGCTTCGGTTGGTATCGGCGCTGGATCGGCAAGGAGTAATCGCCGGGGTGCTACGAGTGCGGAGTAAATGTGATGGACACCGCTCAGCATACGCTGGGCGAGTGTCCGGCGTATGTGTGGCCTCGGCACTTTTTGCAGTGCGAGGTAGGTGTGGATGTGAGTGTGGGTACGCTTGTGGAGAGAATGTTGCAGAGTGAATGTGCATGGAGTGCTGTGGCCACTTTTTGTGTGACAGTAATGTCTCACAAAGAGAAGGCAGAGCATGTGAGGGAGCGGCGCGGGGAGGTCGCGAGTAGAAGGAGGCGAAGGCCGGGAAATTCGGGTCCGGCTTCCCGGCCTCCATCCTGAGATTAGTGGGGCGGCGCGGCCTCCCCGCGTCGCCCGCGGTCCATCAAACCGCATTGTCTGACTGGGTGGGAGAGAATGGGTGGAAGTGAATGTGTGATGTGAATGCGAAGTATGAATGTATGCGTGTGTGAATGGATTAGTGAGATGTGTGATTTATTTTAATATTTTGTAAAATATTGTAGTATGAGAGTGGTGTGTGCTAGTGTAGTATGTGTGAGAGGTGTGGAGACGGGGCTGTCGTCCTCCTCGGCGACAACTTCCGTCCCAATATTTTCCGGGATTTGGCGGACTTCCGTCCGGGGTCCCGAATGCCCCGTTTGACGGGGTCCGCCATGGCCGCAGGTGTCACAGGTCGGGGGACCCGGGGCACCATTGCACGCGGCCGAGGGGTGAGCCGACGGCGACCGTGGTGGCGTGGTCGGCTCAAAACGGGGGTGGGGTTCATTGAGGGGGAGCTTCTCTCCCCCTCCGAGAAGGGCGCCTTCCGCGCATAACGGGGGTGAGTCGCGGAGCCGGAGGAGGATCCCGTGGCTCACCTACCCGTCGGGGTGGTCACCACCGAGGGGTTTTAGTGGGTACGAATCCCACACTACCCCCGCTCCTCCCCCGGGGAGTGGGGGCGTCTTTCGAAGATTTCCCCTCGTAAAAAAAAAAAAAAAAAAAAAAAAAAAAAAAAAAAAA